CTAATCCATGCAGGCCCTCTGTGGTATTGAATGCCAAGTCCCACGTACTACCCTCGCCATGTGCGAGCCTTTTAATCAGAGAATGGACATCTGGGATAAGCACAACATCATGTCCGAGGTTTGTGAGAACCACCGTTATATGATCGGCAGCTTCTCCGACCTCGAATCTGTTGCAGTCCACATCTGAGTAACCGAGGGCTTTGTAGGCCTCGCGAAGCTAAAATATGAGAGCGATCTTGAGGGATCCGTGAGTCATAACGGCGCGTATCTGGATTAACTGTAGTGTGGGGATCGGTCAGCATCTTATATTCCTGCTTGAGCAATTCTGACAAGTCAAGTCTAAATCTTCAGCCACACTGCATGACACATAAAGAGTGTTATTTGGAATTCAATGCTCATAGATGAAGTTGCGGTGTGACTTTCTATTGTGCGTCTGCATTCATGCGTGGAACTATCCAATCACAACGCTGGTGCAGTACTACTCTCAAATGCAAATAAGCGTAGGTTTCTGAAGAGTAATTGAATGACCTGCAGAGTTTGCTTTCTGTTCGACTGATGTGCCATGTCGTGCGGCTAGTGAAATATAGACGAACCCCGATCGAATGGCGTCCGGAGTAGCGAAACATCCTTTTTGATAGTCCTTTAGGTTCAATAATTAGCTGTATATTAGCTGTATAAATGGTAAATAAATGTTGGTATATTCTATACTGTTATTCACATCAATTCATGAAACTATCACACCTTGTTCGACTACACTAGAGGTCGGTCCTTGTAGGTGTTTGCTGATTTTACCTCTCGACAAAAAGTGACAATATGATAAATTCAAGATAATAGATTGAGCTAGATGACATTAATTCTTGACCAGGAATTTTGCATTATTGTCGCTTCGACTCAATGCAGAATTGCGTCTCGCTATCATGTCATACTGATGCACGTTCAAAAGTCGTCTGTAATTCTGTGGCCTTCATCTGGATCGTCAAAATTGCTGAGGGGGGATTCAAAAGCATTCTTCAGGTCATATTCAAAGGTGCAACATCAGAGAAGCTCGTGATCCGGTGCAAGATACAATGCAGGAATTGTATGGAATGAGGGAGGTGATCGGGACAGATGCTTCCGGCTGGGTACCTGGCAATGAACAACTGACGCATCTAAGAGAATTATGCAAAAGATCAATGCGGGTTTAATCAAAAACTCGGACATTGAGGTGGAGCATTTGTGGTGCTCAATGATCTCCCGATTGACGATCACAATCCTTAAAGAGCAGTCATCGGCTCGATACAGCTGGATTTGAGGGTAATTGGCTTCTATTTCTAAATCAACTCAACCATGACACACCCCACAGCTCTCTCGATTACAATTAAAGGTTTCGTCTACTGCCACCCAATTTGTCCCCACCCTGACAGTTGAAGCCATCCAGACGGCCCTCATGGCCGACCACTGATGATGAAAGCACAAGCCGCAGCAGCGAAGGTTATCCGGATAAAACAGTCTAAGACATTTCGAATGGTGGCGGGAGTATAGCTTCGCTCATATAACCTTATTCTCGCCACACTGTGGCTGAAAACATATTTGTCGTCCAATACGTGAGTCTCCAAGCAGATGAAGGTTTGGCAATAGTCAGAATTGCGCATGGCTGTTCGAAGCTGTGAGCTGATGTTGCAAATTTGTGTTCCCGGCTAATTAAGTAGTGATGCATTATGTCCGAGTCTTCAGGCCGAGAGCATCGGTTAAATGCATGAATACAAATAGTCTGCAGGCGCACCCCGCACTTGACGCAACTCATGGTCCAGCGCCTTCAGTACTAACAGCCGGGGTTGCGAATCATGATGTTGCTTCACTTCACGGCATATGCTGCACTGGGCAGTGTAGTAACCGCTGCATCCCTACAGCCACGGCTGCAAGATGGCTTAGCATTGACACCACAAATGGGGTAGGTTGAGCACGCCTTGACCATATACAGGACTAATACCATTGGCCAGATGGAACACATACAATCACTACTCGTGCTCCCCAAATGAGACCATCGTTCGGTCCAATGCACAAGCATTGGTTGACCTAGGCTTATCATCACTTGGATATCGCTATGTCACGACAGACTGCGGTTGGACGGTCGCAGACCGACTGCCTGACGGATCCTTGACGTGGAATGAAACCCTGTTCCCTCAAGGATTCCCTGCTATGGGTGACTTCCTCCATGACTTGGGCCTCTTGTTCGGAGTGTACCAAGATTCTGGAATTCTGTTATGCGGAAGTCCGCCGAATGAGACAGGAAGCCTGTGTATGCCAACGGTCATGGCCAAATGCGAGAGCGAATTACTAATCGAGCACCGTAGATCACGAAGCACAAGATGCCAGGACATTTGCCTCATGGAATGTTGACGCTCTCAAATGTATGTCCATAGTATTCTGCTTGAGTCCACATTCTAATGGGGCTATCTAGACGACAACTGCTACTCTGACGCCGCAACTAACTACCCCAACGTTAATTACGCCCCCAGCACCTCTCCTGAACCCAGATTTGCCAACATGTCTCATGCATTATTGCAGCAAAATCGAACCATTCTATTCCAGATCTGCGAATGGGGGATTAGCTTCCCCGCAGGTTGGGCCCCTGCTCTCGGTCATTCTTGGCGGATTGGCAACGACATCATCCCTGCCTGGCGGACAATTTTCCGCATTATAAACCAGGCAGCTCCACAAACAGATTTTGCTGGCCCAGGCCAATGGCCCGACCTTGACATGCTCGAAGTGGGGAATAACATATTTTCTCTCCCGGAGGAACAGACCCATTTCTCTCTCTGGGCCATTCTCAAAAGCCCGCTGATTATTGGCGCTGCACTGAAGGACGAGCTCACTGCCATCAATGACGCGTCACTAGCAATCCTCAAACAGAAGGACGTGATAGCATTCAATCAGGATGCACTAGGGAAGAGTGCGAGTCTACGCCGGCGCTGGACCGAAGAGGGTTATGAGGTATGGAGTGGGCCGCTATCGAATGGACGGACAGTCGCTGCAGTCATCAATTGGCGGAACGAAAGCAGGGACCTGACTCTGGATTTGCCGGATATTGGACTCCAACATGCAGGGACGGTGAAGAACATATGGGACGGCACTACTGCGCAGAATGGGGTCACTTCCTACACGGCGACAGTCGCCGGCCATGGCACGATGCTGCTCGAACTTCAGAATACGACTGCGGTCGGGGTATATCCGAGGGATGTTTTCGGGGAATCTTCTGGGTATATTTATCCTCTTTACAACATGAATGTTTCTGACTTGTTAGGCAAACGACAACCTTCGAAAACATTTACGCCGTGACAACCAGTGCTAAGTACACCATTAGCGTCTACTTCTCGCAGCCAGCTTCTTCAGCAGAAATCATCAGCATCGGATCAAATGCCAACCAGAGTATAATATCCGTACAGGTCCCCGCATCATCGACGCTAGTCTCCGCAAACATCCCACTTACTGCCGGCTCCTCCAACACAGTCACCATCAACACCTCCATACCCATTGACGCCATTCACATCACTGCTCCGAATGGAACGTACTACCCTTGCACGAACTTCACCCTCGCCGGGTCTACTACACTGACTACCTGTGGGAGCGGTTATTGTCAGCCGGTTGGCTCAAAAGTCGGCTACATCAGTCCCAGTGGCACAGCCAAAGCAACGATTTCCGCGACTACGAGTGGGAGCAAGTATCTGGAAATTGACTGGATTAACAACGAGATTGCCTTCGACTCGTCCTGGGGCTGGGGATCCAACTCTCGGAACTTGACCGTGACGGTAAACAGTGAGGATCCGGTGCGGATCGAAGTGCCGCTGAGCGGAAGACATAGCGAGCTGTTCGGTCCGGGGTTGGGATGGTGGGATACTGCAACTTTAGGACTACTGACTAGTGGCTGGAAGGAAGGGTTAAACGAGGTGGTAGTTGGGAATGTGGGGGGTGACGAAGGATTTCAATCTTACGGGGCCGATTTTGTGGGAATCCGGGTGCTGGATTAGAGGAGATGGGAGACTACAGTAGTAACCGTAGAGCATCTCTTGCAGATGAAGGGAAGAAAGAAGAAGCTTTTGGCTGTCGTGCCATTTCTTTAATCACCTGATCGTGGGCACGGGATGCGCGAGTTCGGGGAAGAGCGGGACACAACCAGCTTTTCTTCCCATCCTTTTTCCTCTCTCTTCCATCTATCTACCACTAATCTTCTCCTCGGGGAATTTCCAGTCGGAACTGAATCCAATTGTCGGCCCCCACGAGGGAAGATACATACTCCGAATAGTCTTCAACTCCCCTCAATTCAGTTAGTCATTCATTTGTCATGTCATGTGGCATGTTTGTCTCCCCGGTCCCCACCTACTTCTCGTGCCCGGGGAGAATGACATCGTTCTGGGGAAGTGTGAAGACGCGAATAAGGTTCAGCAGTTATTAAGAAGACCATGGCACAAACGGCCTAACCACAGCTAGCTTCACTTGGCGTCCTTGCGAGCGCAACATGATGGTAGTATCTGCCGAAATTCTGCCGGCATCGTCGTCACGTTTTCCCGTTCTGGGGTGCAGAACGCGGAGTTCTCGCTTATTCCGAGTGTGGAGTCCCCGCAATTCAACGCTCCATACTCATGGCACCGACTTCGTGGAGCCGAACAGGGGACCGAAGTCGGCCACGCGACTTGTTCACCATACGAGCTATCCCCACGGATGTCGCTCTCTGTACAGCGTCTAATTGGCTATGATTCCGAGATTGGCCCGGGACCCTACAATACCATTCATTCTTCCGGCTTCTTGTGAGGTCCATGCCGCCGTCATTCTGCCTCTGTCATTGCCGAGATTTCATAGCCTTGGCCGGATTTGTGGATGGAATGGGGTTGGCTCATGGTGGAATTTGGAGCGAACAATAGAGTGTTTGGATCATGCGCCGTGGGTATATAAGGACCCAGATATTCGCCTAGGATGTCTCTTAACTCGCCATCAAGGAAATCCTCCGCAGCAACTTTGAGAAGATGAAGGTGTCGCTCACCCTCTATGCGGCTGCGCTGCAGCTGGCAGATGCCGCTGTAGTCCAGAAGCGAACAGTCGACGTTGCTGAGCTAGAGCACTACTGGTCCTATGGACGCTCAGAACCTGTCTATCCCACCCGTAAGTCATCCTGACCTGCTAGTCATGATCAAATCTAATCCAGCCATTAGCCGAAACCAGTGGATCGGGTGATTGGGAAGAGGCGTTCACTAAAGCCAAGTCTCTCGTGGCACAGATGACCGACGATGAGAAGAATAACATCACCTATGGCTATACGTCCACGACAAACGGTTGCTCTGGAATGTCTGGTGGTGTCCCCCGACTGGGGTACCCAGGGATGTGTCTTCAAGATGCAGCGAGCGGTGTGCGGGGAACTGACATGGTCAACGCTTACGCCTCGGGTCTCCACATCGGGGCTTCGTGGAACCGTGACCTCGCCTATGAGCACGCACATTATATGGGTGCAGAGTTCAAGCGCAAGGGAGCGAATGTTGCTCTTGGGCCTGTTGTAGGCCCGTTGGGCCGCATGGCGCGAGGTGGTCGCAATTGGGAAGGATACAGTAATGACCCCTACCTCTCTGGCTCCCTCGTTCAGAACACCATCCGTGGTCTTCAGGAGTCCGTCATTGCCTGCGTCAAGCATTTCATCGGAAATGAGCAGGAGACGAACCGCAACACGCCCCAACTACTGGAAGACAGCTATAACCAGTCTATCTCCTCCAATATCGATGACAAAACTATCCACGAGCTTTACTTGTGGCCCTTCCAGAATGCAGTCAAAGCTGGTGCAGGTGCCGTCATGTGCAGCTACAATCGCATCAACAACAGCTATGGATGTCAAAACAGCAAGAACTTGAATGGTCTGCTGAAGGGTGAATTGGGATTCCAAGGGTTTGTCGTCTCTGACTGGAATGCCCAGCAGTCGGGTATTGCCAGTGCAGCGGCAGGTCTCGATATGGTCATGCCTGACTCCGTCTATTGGGAGAATGGTAATCTATCGTTGGCTGTCCGTAATGGATCGCTCTCATCTACGCGTCTCGATGACATGGCAACTCGCATCGTCGCTGCATGGTACAAGTATGCAGAGCTAGAAGACCCCGGCTTTGGCATGCCCATCAGCCTCCTGGAACCCCATGAGCCAGTTGATGCTCGCGACCCTGCCTCCAAGGCCACCATTCTCCAGGAGGCTATCGAAGGCCACGTCCTTGTCAAAAACACTGACAACGCCTTGCCTCTGAAGGAGCCGAAGATCCTATCACTTTTCGGTTATGATGCCATCGCCGCGCAACGCAATACCATGGATGACCTTTCCTGGAGTCTCTGGACCATGGGCCTCGACAACACTCTAAGTTATCCCAATGGCACCGCCGTGGACCCCTCACACCTCAAATACATGTTCCTCTCCAGCACCAACCCCTCTGAAAATGGCCCTGGTGTGTCCTTGAACGGTACCATGATCTCTGGGGGCGGTTCCGGCTCCAGCACTCCATCCTACATCGACGCTCCCTTCGATGCCTTCCAACGTCAAGCTTATGAAGACAACACTTTCCTCGCCTGGGACTTTGCCTCTCAGTCTCCAGTTGTGAACCCGGCTAGTGAAGCGTGTCTTGTCTTCATTAACGAAGCCGCAGCTGAAGGTTGGGACCGTCCGTACGTGGCCGACCCCTACTCCGACACTCTGGTCGAGAACGTCGCCTCCCAATGCAACAATACGATGGTGATCATCCACAACGCCGGTATCCGTCTCGTCGACCGTTGGGTCGACAACCCTAACATCACTGCCGTCATCTACGGCCATCTCCCCGGCCAAGACAGCGGTCGCGCCCTCGTCGAGATCATGTACGGCAAACAATCCCCCTCTGGCCGTCTTCCCTACACCGTCGCCAAGAACGCCTCTGACTACGGTGCTCTCCTGGGCCCGGTCGTTCCTTCCGGAACTAAGGACCTGTATTACCCGCAGGACAACTTCACCGAGGGTGTCTATATCGACTACAAGGCCTTCGAGCAGAAGAACATCACCCCTCGCTATGAATTCGGCTACGGTCTCACCTACTCCACCTTCGATTACTCGGGTCTCAAGATCTCCATTCACACCGATATGAACACTGACTACCTACCTCCCAACTCTACCATCGAGGAAGGCGGTATTCCCGCCCTCTGGGATGTAGTGGCTACGGTTACCTGCTCGGTCGCCAACACTGGATCTGTTGCTGCGGCTGAAGTCGCTCAGCTCTATCTGGGTATCCCCGGTGGCCCAGCAAAGGTCCTCCGTGGTTTCGAGAAGAAACTTATCCAGCCGGGCCATCACACGAAGGTCCAATTTGATCTGACGAGACGCGATCTCAGTTCATGGGATGTAGTGAACCAAGCTTGGGTTTTGCAGAAGGGTGATTATTCGGTTTATGTGGGAAAGAGTGTGCTTGATACCCAGTTGACGGGAACGTTGACGATCTAATGAGCTCACGAGCTTTGACTGTTACGATTAGATGTATAGAAATTCACTTTGCTAGGAATGATTTGTCAAACTTTTGGTCTAATCTATATGGGGTATCTTTTGTAATGATTCTAGTTTTATGGTCATGCTTTTTGAGAGGTCGTCATCTCGAGACATAAAATATGCGGGCACTTATGATACTCCTGACCACACGAGTCCCACAAGTACGTACCTGGGGTCATGCACCTTAAATATGATTGCGGTTGGCACACAACTCCCTCAGTGTCGCATCACTGAGCAGTTCACAGTGCTTTGTCCCTCATGCAGGACACTTCTTGTCATGATTGATTAGAGAGTGACGAAGTGTTCATGGGGTGTACTGAATATCCCTATCATCGATGGTGATATATGCAACACTGAATCCTGCGGCAGAACAGAGATAGGTCATCATCCCGATCCTGATGCCCATATTACTGGCAATCAAAGATCCTTGGCAAATGGGTGAGTTGGTAGAGCCTTGCGCCACCCGCCATGTTATCTGGGAGGGTGCTCAACCGCCAGGACAGCAAGAAAGTTTAAACGCTTCAATATTGAGGTACCACTCAACGAGCGATCAAGCAGGCTGAACTCCCTCGTACCCGGAGAGGTTCTCATAGTACCTCTTATCCAAACCAGCCTGCAACCTGGCCTCTGTATTGAACGGTTCTCTCAACGGCCCGCGGAAGTACTTCTGTACATTTCCCCGGAATACCTTAACGGGATCCGTCTCCTCCTGGGCACAAATCCAGGTCAACCAGCGATGGCCCGTCGTGACATGGGTAATCTCATCATTGTGGATAATCTCCAAGGTGTCCACGCTATCTCCATCTCCGGCCTTGCGGAACTTGTCGATCGTCACTGGATTCACATCCAATCCGCGCGCCTCGTGCACCAATGCAATGATGCTAATCCGAGCGCGCAGATCATGGGCTGTCACGGTCGCAGAGTCCCATAGTCCATGGTGAACAGGAAGGGCACCGAAGTACGAGCCAAGTTCCTCGAGTCTTGTCCGGAGGAGAGAGAAATGCTTCGCCTCGTCATTAGCGACCTTTAACCAGTCGTGGAAAAACGCCCGAGGAAGACCCAGCGCATCCGGCGACTCTGTCTGGAACTTGGCGAACCGCACACAGATATCGACCGCAAGATCAATAGCCCATTGTTCAATGTTCGCCAGCGCATGCAGCATGTTGATCCTGCTCTTCTGCGTACCACCTCTACCCGGCTTCGGAACCGCCTGTCGATTCACATCCTTGACGCCATCCCTAGGCGGTAAATCAGGAAGGTCAACACCGTCCCTAGTCCCGATAACCATAGGCTTATCCGTTCCCTCCCGTTCTGTAAACAGCCTGAATAAATGCGCCGTCAACTCGATCTTATGTTCCGGGTTTGAAGTGTTCAAGATATGCGCACACCATTCACACACCGTCGCATCATCATCCAAATACCGAATAGGCGCGGTCTCAGTCTCATCCTCACCACCCGCTCCATTCGTCGTCGTCGCACCATTCACACCCTTGACACTCTTCTTCAACTTCATCTGCTCACTGACAGCCTCCAACTTCGCCAACTCCACTCCCTCCCCCAGTTTCTCAGAGGTATATTCAACAACCACCATATCCTCATCGCTCACATCAACAGGAAACGTGCACGCCTTGATCCCCACACTCGACTCTCCCGTCTCAACATTAAAATCATACGCGTGCCACGGACAAGACACGATATACGCCGAATCTTCAATGTCGATGGAGGAATCTTTCATCGGGCCGCCGGCATGCGGACACTCCGCTTCCATGGCGTAGTAGGACCAGCCGTTGGCGTCATTGCGCGCTCGGGGTTTGATTTTGGTTTTCGGGGTCTCGATCGTGGGGAGGCGGAAGAGGACGAGGCGTTTGCCGTCGGAGAGGTGTAGGACATAGCGGGTTTGGGTGAGGGAGGAGAGCGGGGCGAGGCGGACGCGCGCCATGATGGGAGATATTGATCTGTACAGGCAATGAAAGAAATTCGTTGTCGTGGGGGGGCGTTCGTAGGATGCAATAATATATTCTTGGAATTGGAGGGGCGGCCTTTTTTGAGGTCACGTGTGGGTTCTGGATAAGGGTGGGGCACTACTCGTAATGTGGGAGGCGGTCGGTCGGTCGGACATGTGCCTGAAAGAATAACAGGGCGCTTTACTTGATTCAGAGGGCCAAAATTGAGTTGAGTATGAAGATTACAAATTCGTTCCTATTATGAACAGCGACTATCGAGGTGTAACCTATGTATGATCGATTGGTCAGAAACAGATACGTATGGGGAGCAGAGAAAAAAAGAAATTATGTTCGTGCGTTAACTGGGAGTCGAACCCAGAGCTCAACCTCACAAGAGGAGTGGAAGGGTTGAATGTTACCGCTACACCATTAACGCTTGTTGTTGAAAGTTTGGTATTATTCTAAACTATATTCAGTACAATTAGTAGTCAGCTCTTTGCTATATTTCCTGTAAACAAATGGGGAATCTGATTTATCTTGCAATGATCATGATCAGGTATATTATTTCTTTCAACCAGTTGGAAATTTGAGCCCCGCTCGTTCCGGCTGTTATTTGACAGTTTCCAAAGCGAATCTCGACTGGAACATTTTATACTATATATTACCGACTAAATCATCCAACGTTATCCCATCAGCTCATCGATATAGTATTATCATCCATCCAAGTGCTATGTACCGGGTAATCTCATATCAAACTGCCCAGTAACTGCCTAACATGTGATCAGTTGGCGCCCGGCTTGTCCTACGATGCTTGTCCTATTTACATCAACTCCAGTTACGGGATCATCCGGTTGGAAACACTCTAGATTATTTGGTCTGTGTTCTCCTCTTGCACGACTTTCGGGTCTATGGCTCACCCGAACGAGACCACATATGGTCTAAAGTAGCCAACGAGTGGCTTTGCATCATTCTTCCATCATATCAGTTTGGCGCGCTGCTGAGACCAATGTTCGCGCATGGATACCACACCCCGCATGGCAGTGCTAGACCCAACAACAACTAGCAGGGATCAGAGATGGCCCACTGCGAGGCTCGCTCGGAAGGTGCCTACAGCCTTGCATCGCCTTGCAGTCAATGGGCTGGCAGTGAATACTATATATTAGTTGCTACCCTGTGCCCCGCCACAATCACTGATACGCGCCTATCTGCTCTTTCGACTTCTTTCTCCTTCGTCCTCACAGCTCTTCTGTTCTACTCCCCCACATACGCCCTGGCTACACCATCGCGATGGCAGATCCACAGAAACTCCTGTCTTGGTAAGTGGCCAATCCAGATATCGCTGGCTAGGTTTGGTCGCACGCTGTCAAGGACACGTCTGATGACGTTTCCTCCTCAGGTACACTGGCCTGTACTCCCGTACCGTCGACCTCGTTGGCGACTATGCAGGCAATGAGCTCTTCATCATCGAAGGGGATTCACTTCTCTTGCACTGCTTCGCCGACGATCAGCTTGATTTTTCCAATGGCTTTCAGCTGCTTCATGCCACTTACATCGTGGAGCGGTTGTTAGCACAGCTTCGACAACGAAATTGCAATTTTCACATCGTCTTCTTCGCGGACAACTCGGGGGTATCTATTCCACCACATGCTGATGAATCATCGTTGCCGAAGTATCGTCTCGCTCGTGAAGCCATTTTACAGCATCTTCAACAGAATGCTCCTAAGGCTTTTCCATCCATGCAAGTGAGATGCTTTGATACATACAACTGCTCTGATTTTGAGGAGTATCTTACTTCGGAGGGGGTCTATTTTATCATATGTCATGATGGGGCCTTTTCAAGTTCTAGCGGGCATGACAGAGCATTTGGTAGAGCTCTAGAAGACCCCGAGAAAGTGCTGTCAGACGATAGCTCAGACAGTGGTTGTGAAAAAATGTCCGATAACACTCTTCCCTCGTTTTGGACGAATAGAATTACGCTCAGGTCGATGATACATTGGTTTGTCGCACATGGCTTTAATATCTCATTGTTGAACAGCTTGGAGTGTCGTGATACCAAGGTGAGCTCAGCGTCTTCATCTGTATTGGACTAAACCTAACCTTGAATAGGTGTTTACTATGGTTCTAGAGGGCTCCGCAGAACGGGCACGGAATCTTTTCTGCGTGGATTCTGTCAGCCTGGACATTGCGGAGGATACGGAATCATCTGGTTCTGATACAGAAGAGGTGGAATCTGAAATCAATCTGGCGCATTGTCACATCGAAGCTAGCCCCAGTACTGAAAGACCTTCTCCCACTAGCCCTTCCTCAGTCGAGCCTACTCTACGCAATTTCCCGCGTATCTTGGGCGCCACTGATCACATTCTCACTCAGCGAGAGTGGGCCACAGTTCTAACAGGAAGTGTCCTGCTAACTTCTGACTGCCGCCAAGAGAATGAGATGTTGGGGCTACGTGCTCTGTTACTACACACAATCATTCTGAGTGAGTGCAAACTTGAAAACCGCGTGTATGGTCCCAAGTACTGTCTCCCTGGTGAGTTGTTGCTGGTAAGATATGTTGAAGTATCTCGGAGTGTCATCACATCACAGTTGTGGCATGATGCTATGAGGCTTAGACCTATAAGCTGTGATGTGGCGGACCTGATTGATGGGCGGTTGTTCCTTGAGCTGATGCAGTTGCAAATAATCTGTCCGTCTGATCTTGAATGTTCCTTCAGCCAATCAATCGTGGATAGGTTTTCGGTGCTTGCTTCACTAGTGAAAGGCCTTTGTGGTGTCGAAATTGCTAGCTTCCAAGTGAGCGACAAGACTAGCGGTAGGAAAGCAAGCAGCAAGAAGAAAACTAGGGATTCGGGCAGTGGCCAAGTTAATAGCCGGACAAAGGCAACTGCCGTGCTCCCCTTCAACAACCCCGACTTTGACCGCCATCTCAAGCCAATATCACTTGCCATTGACAAATCCGCTGCTGGGAAGGAGCTTGCAGTGTCGCGAATTTTTGAGGAAATCAGCCACTGGCATAATCATCGCAGACCGCTAGATCAGCGGAATGCAATTCCTCTTACGGAGCGGCTTCTTCGCCGTAACCAGAAGTTCATGGCTGAAACTGAGCAGTATGCTGCCAGTCTCACAGATGCGAAACCAGAGTCGATTTTTGTAAAGACTAAGGCAGACCTCAAGGACTTGTCAAGGAAAAACCCGGCTCCTGAAGTTACGGAGGGAGACAGGACCTCTCGATCCACGAAAAATGGTCCAAAACAGACTAAACACCCAAAGACCAGCGTATCTGCGTCGGTTAAAGCAAAGGCAGAAGCTCACTCTCGGGAAAAGCGGGCTAGCAATCTTGAAAGACAATTGGAAGCATGGGAAACTAAACGCCATGGGATCGAGCATGCCTACAATCTGGTTCAGAGATATCAAGATGCTTCCGAGTATCTCCACAGCTTAAAGAGAAAGGGTGACTGTCTGATAGAGCTAGACATACTCGCTTATCTCATAATGACCCTAGCGCAGCTGTGGAAAACCAAGGGCGAAACAGAGAAGAACAAGCCTATGGGGATAGTGGCACTCATATGGTTCCTGATTCTTAAGATCTCGAAGGCGAAGCAAGGCATTACGGTCGGCATTCGATGCTTTGTTGAAGAAACTATCAAAGCGCTCAATCTTCCACGTATTGACATCCCATGTCACAGTTCAGGAAAAGCTACACCCTCATTCACACCAATACCTTCGCAGCACGCCAACTTGAAAACGGGCTTGTCACCAGTTGAGTTTCAGCTGGTTCATGCGGGGCCATACTTCGATAGAAATATGGAATCGGCACCGGATCCTCGTGTTCATGACTTCGAACCTGATCGGTGGCAAAGAGAGATCTTGGACCAAATCGACGCTAAAGCAAGTCTTTTTGTAGTCGCTCCAACCAGTGCAGGGAAGACTTTCATATCGTAAGTGTCATATGGGAGCCTATAACAATGTGTGCTTCAAGTTCTGACTATAGAATAGATTCTATGCTATGAAACAGGTCCTCGAGAGCAGTGACGATGGGGTCTTGGTGTACGTTGCCCCGGCTAAAGCACTCGTCAATCAGATCGCCGCCGAGGTCCAAGCAAGATTCAGTAAGAGTTACAAATACGCTGGGAAGTCTGTCTGGGCTATTCATACACGTGATTACCGCATCAACAACCCAACTAGCTGTCAGATCTTGATCACAGTGCCACACATACTTCAGATTATGCTTCTTGCTCCGTCAAACGCGAAATCGTGGGCGTCTCGCATTCAGCGTATCATTTTCGATGAAATCCACTGCATTGGCCAATCAGATGATGGAGTGGTATGGGAGCAATTGCTTCTTCTTGCACCTTGCCCTATAATTGCACTTTCCGCGACGGTCGGTAATCCCGAAGAATTCAGCAACTGGCTGAGGTTGACTCAGAATGCAAATGGCCATGAACTGAAAATGATTGAGCACAAAACGAGATGGTCGGATCTAAGAAAGTTTCAATACAGACCTCCATCCACTTTCATCTTTAACGGGCTATCGAATGTCACTCATCTAGCTGCACTCGGCCTCGATTCCTGTCCAAACATGTCCTTTATACATCCTGTGACGAGCCTGACCAACCGATCTCGTAGATTCCCGGACGATCTAACTCTGGAGCCGCGTGACTGTTGGACACTTTGGAAGGCCATGAACAAGTACACAACAGCAGATTATCCGCTTGATAAGGCGTTGGATCCGTCAAACGCGCTGCCAGGTGTCATATCCAAAGCCAATATATTGGAGTGGGAGGCCAAGCTGAAGCTGGTACTGAAACATTGGATGAACAATTCAGACTCTCCATTCGATGCTGTCGTGGAGGAACTCGCACAAGGAAGATATGTAGAGAAGAACGACGACGTGCAGGCATCATCTGGCGAACTCGGCCAGCTAGATGAGCCCCGCGTAGTGAATAACAGCCTTCTCGGTACAACACTCCCCTTGATCTGTTCTCTTCATAACCAAGACGCCCTACCAGCTATTTTCTTCAACTATGATCGAAGTGAGTGTGAGAGGATGTGTCAGTATATCCTTGATGAACTGGAACAGTCCGAGGCCCGGTGGAAGTCCTCAAGTACAAGCTGGGCGAACAAGATTAGTGAGTGGGAAAAGTGGAAGAAGTCGGAAGAGAAGCGCTCCAAACAAAAAAAGCCTGTCAAAGGGAAAAGCCGATCTAAAGACAGAGATGAAAATATGTCCAGAGCAGAACGGATGCGTGAGACTGCGTCAGCAGAATCGAGTTGGCACGAATCGTTTGACCCAGATGAGCCAATATCGAGGTTTTCCCTAGCTGATGAGAAGAAGCTGGCGGGTTCTGAGTTTGAGGAACATGCTGAAGAACTGCGGAAACGGCAGGTCTCTCCTTGGTTGATTGATGCTATGAAGCGTGGGATCGGTGTCCATCACGCTGGTATGAATCGCAAGTACCGACAGGTTTGTGAGATGCTCTTCCGCAGGGGCTACCTCCGGGTTGTCATCGCCACAGGTACATTGGCTCTTGGTATCAATATGCCATGCAAAACCGTCGTCTTCGCCGGTGATTCTGTCTTTTTAACGGCGCTTGGATTTCGGCAAGCAGCTGGTCGAGCTGGACGCCGAGGCTTCGACTTCCTAGGCAACGTGGTCTTTCAGTGTATTCCGGATTCCAAGATTCACCGTCTACTCAGCTCGAAGCTTCCAAGCTTGAGTGGCCATTTTCCGTTGTCTACCACTCTAGTACTACGACTTTTCATTCTGCTTCAGAAGTCTAATCGGTCTGATTTTGCCGTCCAAGCCATCAACTCGATCCTTTCATGCCCACGGATTTACCTTGGAGGGCCGGAGGCCAAACATACTGTTCTCCATCATCTGCGGTTCTCGATCGAATACCTCCGTCGCAATCAGCTCCTCGACGCTAGCGGTCTTCCCCTCAATTTTTCGGGTACCATATCGCATCTGTACTACACCGAGAATTCGAGCTTTGCATTCCATGCGCTCCTCAACGGTGGATATTTTCATCGACTGTGCAAGAATATCGGCAAGAGACCCAAAGAAACTGTTCTCACATTGATGCTTGTTATGTCGCACTTATTCGGTCGCAAGTATCTACCTCCAGTTGCCCTTGAGAACCTCCGAACCTCTGAGAAGAAATCCCCATCTGTTGTGATTCTTCCAAGTCTTCCGAAGAAGGCAGCTAGTATCTTGCGCAGTCATAACGAGAAGACTCAAGATATTTACACATCTTATGTGACCACCTTTGTTGAGCAGCACATCATAGGTCCAGGCTGTTTCCTCCCGCTGACAGGAATGAAGTGCGGTGGCGACAAATCTCCGGAGGGGATCAGCCACGCACTGCCGGTTACTCCTCCGACTCGAGTCACATCGTCATTCGCCGCACTATCAGGTCATGGCGATAAATGGCGGAGCATATCTGACCTCTGTAAAAAGGTCCGCAGCGGTGTCTGGCTAGAACAAGCAGTGGTGCCGTATGTGGGGCTTTACCCGGAAGAGGGCAAACTTCCACTCAATGCGTATCTATATGATTTCTTCAAGCACGGAAATGTGAAGGCATTGGAGAAGGGAAATATGATCCGCAGGGGTGATATCTGGTTTCTCCTGAACGACTTTTCCCTAGTCCTTGCCACCATTGTCACTGATTTCGAGAATTATCTCAAGCTGTCCCCAAACATTGACCTGGACTTGTTGGATGTAGCTGGTAGTGGTGATGTGCACGAGATCGACTTGGATGATAATGCTTATGGTGCAAACGATCCCCTGCCAGGGACAGCCGCGAGATCAGCCAATTTACCCCAAGTCCGGATGCAAGCCACAACCAAGCCCCAGCTCACTTCGGCATCTGCCAATCCAAAGAAAGCGAAGGTAGCGGACAGCTGGGAAGATGAGTTGAGTAACGATGAAGAAAGTGAGAATAAGGTACCCGAGAGAGAGGAAAATGCAAAGGCGACTAACAATCCCACTTCCTCCACTTTACCGAGTGATATCGAGAAGGGATTTTTGCAAGTCTTGAGGGCGTTCAAAACGCTTCAAGCTGAGTTCAACGAGAAGTTCAAGGCCATGTGGGCATAAACAGCGGGTAGGTTTGGGGCATACTAGGAAGGGCTGGGCTAGAATGTAGTTGGATCTTTGTGATTTCTCCGTCCATTTATGATGTCTTTAGTGCGACCAGTCGGAAGAGTCGTTGAGATGAAGAATGTTTCCTAGCTAGACTACAGCAGATACAGAAGAAAATCAACAAAACATTATCATATTATCCCGACACCGACTAAATACAAAATACCAATAAATCCAACCAGTATACCAGCACAGCAGGTACTTAAAACAGTAATAATGTGGTCAACAGAGAACCCTATTCAAGTACAACACCAACAATTAGCTCTCTCTCCTCCTTCCATAATACAAGAACCCCAAGTATGTTGTGAAAGTCACTCACCCTAATGAACCCACTTAAGCCTTGAAGTGGATACCAGCACCGGCACCGAGTCCAGCGTTGGCAGCGACCTCAGCAGCGGCGTTAGCGGCAGCGTTGGCACCGATACCGATCTCGAAGGGAGCCGGGGCGGGAGCAGGGTTAGCGGCCACAAAGGAGGCCAGGAAGGCAGTGGCGAAAGCGGTGATGAGAGTGAACTGCATTTTGACTGAATTTATTGGGTTTCTGTCAGATGTATGTTAGATGACGGTTTAATTATCCTCAAGGCTGATGGAGTAGGAGAGAGAGAAGTACATACCCTAACGCGGGAATGTCTATAGAACGTGCGAAAGATGGATGGATGGATGAAGGAAGGATTGCTTGCTTGCTTGCTTGAGATGCTGGATGAAGAACAGAAAATTCAAGCAGGAATCGAAGACGATTTTATACCTCCTTCTCCGTCCTCGCTTGAAGGCGTGAGAATTCAATTCACAGTATAAGTTAGTATGTAGAACAGTAGGTAGGGGTCAGGGGTGTGCGTGCGTCTGAGATCTGATACCGCGGACTGGAGCTTATGGTTCAACATCCGGAAAGGATCGACTTACTTCTCGATCTAAATATCGGGAAACAGTGATCGGAGGACAGTCCTAGTCTATACTGTGGTAGACAGAAGGGGGTGGTTGGTCGGGTGATCTGCTTGAGTTGAACCGTTCGACTCAATTTTGAGGTTCCGAGGTACCCGTACCCTAAATCATACTTAGACCGGGCTTGGATTGATTTGTCTTTGGAGTTCGGAGATTCATACTCATCTAAACTGACTGACTAGACATCTAGAGTAATACTTGCGAGAGGGACTGAAAAAGAAGAAGCAAAACTCATGAACGGGTGTTCCTATCTCGCTTTCTATCTGTAACCTCCGTTGGAGCAAGATGGAGTGGTCGGTTCTCTTCCGAGGGTTCCAGCCAGACTTGGATGCGACGCCGGTGTCGATCTTGCGGCTGGGATGAAACGCTTCCGCAATTCTATTTTTACTTGCCTTCTACGTTGGTGCTGCTCTATTGGACTTAACTCTTAGATGATTAGGTTGAATTGGGTTTATGCATCAACGTTATGCACATTGTCATGTGCCGAGGTTGTTTCCAGACAGGTGCTTGGTCCATCGCTGGCTGGAATTGTAGCTTTCCTGGCAGATAGGAGTGATCGACAATTGCTGCTGCCACTTAATTACAGAAAGTTTGGTTAATGCATAGAATTGCTGAATTTTGATGTTTTCTTGATATTCTGCTATTAACGCCTTTGGGAGTGTTGCATGTGCTAACAATATGCACTTCGGGCAAACTGCCTATTGAGCCGTGCTCAAAGGTTCCAGACACAAACGCATCAAAGCATTTAATACTAATTATATCCAATTAGCCGGTAGGGAGAAACAATCCCAAAGCTATGCATCGGTGGAGCGATACAGGAGCTGAGACCTCAGGCCTCCTGACGGGTGGGTTAGTGAGTGCATTATAGTTAGGTCGGACTACGCACAGCGCAGGCCATGGAATGACCATAATCTGGTAACTATCTCCTACTGCTCTCTCTGCATCAGTGGTATGGCTATATCCAACTGCAGAGTAAAGTGTGAAACATTTGTTTGACTGCAGAAAATCGATCGGGGAGTAGATTAGTAATCACCGGCCAGCACGATCTGCAATCAGCGGCATCCGAAAATGAAACAACATCCATGTACTTCTTGCATTCCGTGGGGTCAATATGGCTAGCAGTGGGTCGGACGCAGCTTTTGCGTACCATGAGCCAAGTATCTCGACTCTTCTCAATCAGGCTGGACTCTTGGTGGTCTTGAACCTCATCAATGTCTGTCTCGATAAGCTACTGTACTGTGGACTGATCGGTCAACTGTTCGTCGGTATCCTCTGGGGGACCCCCGGGGCAAAATGGCTGGACACGGAGACTGAAAGAGTAATCCAGCAACTGGGCTATATTGGCCTTATCATGCTGGTGTATGAAGGTGAGTATTTTGGGTTCAAAGAAATGATCCATGACTCACTCAAGTAGGTGGTCTATCAACCTCAATCAAATCCATGAGAGCCAACCTCGTCATTTCGCTATGTGTTGCCCTCACTGGGATCGGGGTTCCCATGGGCTTATCATTTATCTTGGTGAAGCTGGTCTCCGCCAGCCCCCTTCAGGCCTTCGCTGCAGGCGCATCTCTCAGCGCGACCAGTCTTGGCACCACTTTCACCATACTATCAACCACTAATCTAATCCCGACACGTCTTGGTACTGTCACTACAAGTGCCGCAATGCTAGACGATGTTGTTGGTCTTGTCATGGTTCAAATCATCTCAAACCTCGGTGGTAGTGATTTGTCGTTTAATGCTGTTACTGTGGTTCGACCTTTGTTTGTCTCCATCGGCTTTGGATTAGGGGTCTTCGTCCTATGCGCATTCTGTCTGAAGCCAATACTGCGAAAGGCTCTCACTATGAGAGGTGAACTGCCGCAATTTATGGGATCTATGCAATTTGCTTTCCTTGCGCAGACATCTATGCTGGTGGGGCTTGTTGCGGGCGCTACCTATGCAGGGACCTCTAGCCTATTTGCTGCGTATCTTGCAGGTGTGATCATTTCTTGGTTTGATGGGTTGGCTGCTGATAGCCATATTCCGAACACTAACACGGATCGCGACATTTCACAGTCCGAGCGTGGCGTGCTAGGTGGGCAGGCTACCTCTGAGCAGTCGACACCTTATCGTTCAGACAACGCTGCTCCAAGCATGCCGCTGGAACCTTCTTTCAATCCACATGAAAAAGTTCCGACCGGTATAGAAGTGTATGAGAAGTACTATAAAGAGCCTGTGAATCGGATTTTGATTCCATTGTTCTTCGTAAGTCTTATCCTTGGTGGCTATTATCTACTTCTAACATGTACAGGCCTCCATCGGCTTTGCTATACCTATCACTAAGATGTTCCGCGGAGACGTTGTATGGCGCGGCATCATTTACGCCATCCTCATGATTTTTGGAAAGATGGTCACCGGTATATGGCTCGTTCGTTTCTCGCTTCCTTCGACGACAACTTTGCTCTCCACTCTCGAGAGACCGTTCTCTTGGGCTCTCTTCTCCTGCACTTCTCGTAAAAGCGAGGACAAGAAAAAGAAGAAGGAGAAGGAGAAGGATACTCGCCCTAGACGCCAGACTGCAGTTCGTACAGAACAGTCTGATCGAAATGCAGATGCTAAAAACTCGGCCGAACACAGGGGAAATCCCCAAAATCCCAACCGCAATGAGCCTGTATCTGAAACAGAACCTCAAACCACCTCACCCAATCCCAGCAGTACCATGTCCCTCCCTCCCAAGCCCAAATCGCTCTATCCACCGTTTATCCTCGGATTGGCAATGGTTGCCCGAGGTGAGGTTGGCTATCTCATTGCTTCCCTCGCGGAGAGCCAGGGAATGCTCTCCAGTGGATCTAATGGCGAGATCTCGGACATCTACCTGGTAGTTATTTGGGCAATCTCCATTTGCACGCTGGTGGGACCTATTGCTGTTGGAACCATAGTTAAACGAGTGAAGAAGCTGCAACAGGCTCGGGGACCTTTAGGCGCGGATCCTTTGGGGGTTTGGGGAATCTAACGCTAGAGAAAGAAATGCAAAATTCAAAGGAGCTTGAAGCGATGTTATTGAACTAGTGTAGTCTATGCGGCGTAATGTGTCTGATTAGGGGGTTTCTTTGCGTTTGTCACGTGTTAATCCATATTTCTTCGCTGTCTGTCTTTCTCAACAAACCCACGTATCCTACTACTGCCGGTCCATATCATGACTAAAGCTAAACTAGACACGCATGTCCGGATAGTAGAGCTGCATTTCAACCTGAGCTTCTACCATCTACATGGAAAGTCCGCATCACATTCTCCAATTTCAGGTGCTGTCAGAAGCGGAAGCCATCTTCACAGGCCTGCAATCTTAGACAAAATGTGGCTTAACTCCATTCAGAAACACTGTAAGATGATGTCTTATGATGTCAGTCCACAAGGGCTTGGGAAGCCTCCATGATCTCGCGGGCTGAATTAAAGTTAACCTCCCTTGAGCTACAGGAACTCCAGACCGTCCGATAGAATTGACCCATGGATGCTTCCAGCCCAGGCAGGTTGATAAACCTCACGTGCCCGGCTGACTGGTATCCATCTCCTCCCATATCGGTCTGTCCGAGTGTTGCTGTCACTTCAGACACCATTGACTTCCTTTCTGAAGATGCCATATCCAGACGAGTGATCGGGGATGGAAACTTGAGGGAGTGTCTGGAATTCGAGAAAAGACATAAGTAAGCATGTTGGCACGATTTCCACTCTCCAACAACTTCCCATCTTTATAATCTATGCAGACCACTAACACTCTCGTATATTCTTGCAGGACCTACCCCTTGTGACGCCTTGTTGGGATGATATGGCTGCCCCTGACACGGCCGCGTTTCCCAACTACAATGTTGACCTTTCTCATGTGGAGGACCCCAACGAGCGTCGTCGTTTAGCCCTTGCACGCATCGACGACGCTCCGTTCGGATGGCGTCACGCTCGCGCGGTTGTTGTGGCAGGAGTGGGCTTCTTCACCGACTCCTACGATATCTTCGCCATCAACCTCTGCTCGAGCATGCTGGGTGTTGTCTTTTGGGAACACGCGACCAATCGCCCTGGCAAGATACCATACAGCTCGGACACTGCCATCAAGGTCTCCACATCAGCTGGTACCGTCATCGGCCAGTTGTTCTTTGGATGGTTGGCAGATATTGTCGGTCGCAAGCGCATGTACGGGATTGAGCTCATCATCATTATATTGGCTACATTGGCACAGTGCTTGTCCTCGAATTCTCCTGCAGTGTCCATCACGGGCCTTTTGGTATTCTGGCGTACAGTCATGGGTATCGGCATTGGTGGTGACTATCCATTATCTTCAATCATAACTTCAGAGTATGTGCCTACCCCTTATATTAGAACTCAGCTAATCGAGTAGGTTCGCGAATACAAAGCATCGAGGAGCCATGATGGGAGCTGTCTTTGACATGCAAGGCTTCGGATAGTTTGCTGCTGCAATTGTCGCGCTAATTGTGACGGTGGGTTTTAAAGGCTCCCTGGAGTCTGCAGCCTCCGTGAGTAAATGCAGTGGAGTCTGTCAGCTGGCCGTGGATAAAATGTGGCGGGTCGTCATTGGGTTCGGAGCGGTTCCGGCTTGTCTTGCGCTTTATTATCGTTTAACCATCCCTGAAACCCCGCGCTACACCTTTGATGTCGCCAAAGATTTACTCAGAGCGGATGAAGATGTTGAAGCTTACATTCTGGGGAAACACGAAGGCCATCCTGACGAGGTCAAACGGGTAGCTGTGCTTCAAAGTGCCGATATCAGACTAGTGACTCCAAAAGCAAGTTGGTCGGACTTTCGTTCGCATTTCACCACTTGGAAGCATGGCAAGGTATTGCTTGGCACTGCAGGCTCGTGGTTCTTCCTTGACGTTGGTAAGTATACTCCACTTTGACTGTAACGCGCTGACTTTATAGCGTTCTACGGACTTGGGCTCAACAATTCCATCATTTTGAGAGCCATCGGCTGGAACGGTGGAAGTACTGTGTACGAATACTTCTACCGCAACGCTGTGGGCAACCTGATCTTGATCTGTGCTGGAGCCATTCCAGGATACTGGGTGACGGTTGCAACAGTCGACCGGCTAGGCCGCAAGCCAATCCAGATTACCGGATTTGTGATATTAACTATCATATTTATCATCATCGGGTTCGCGTATGAGCCGCTGAAGAAGTCTGACAACGGGTTATTGGCATTGTACGTCGTGGCACAGTTCTTCTTCAACTTTGGGCCAAACGCCACCACGTTCATTGTGCCAGGGGAGTGCTTCCCTACGCGGTATCGGTCAACCTCGCATGGGATCAGTGCTGCTTCCGGAAAAATCGGTGCCATCATTGCGCAGTGTGTATTCGGGCCGCTGGCGCAACGGGGAGCGAAGGGAGGCGTTAACTCATCTGATACGCCGTGGCTCAATCATGTTATGCAGATATTTGCGCTGTTCATGCTGTGCGGGTGCTTAACCTCGTTGCTTATTCCAGAGACGAAGCGTCTGACTCTGGAGTATCTGTCTGGCGAGGAACCTACACCCACGCCCACGGTCACAGCCTCAGGGCAGGAGCAGGGGCCGAAGAGGGATAGAACATAAGGAACGGTAATTGAGATGCGTGCAGGTAGTTCCGGGGAGTAATAGCTAGTTGGATAGGGAACAAGAGGTCCACCAGGCAATCGCCAGCACGGTAGCATTTTGGACAAGAGTATGCGATAAAAAGTTGCTGCAATAAGTAACCTGCGAAGCATTATTTTAGTTCTTCTAAGATCAAATGTGATCAATGTTTGCAATATACACCAAATCAGTAACACAGTAGAAACAGCATAAATAGCATTTTGGAACCTGCGTCAGTATGTTTTCACTCACCACATCCCACCTGTATACTTCTCTCATCTCACCGACCACCCCCAAAACAGCCTCCCTCATACCAACACCCACACCACCAAACCCAATCCACACACAAAATCAAGATGCCTCCCACCACAAACAACCCCCTAACAACATCCATCACCACCACCGAAGCCGAACAAATCGCCTCCCTGCACCTCATAGCAGACAGCATCGCCCAACAACGCCAACTCGCCGCCCGCTCCATGCTCACCCACCCGGCCATGCTCTCCTGCCTTACCTTCTCCCTCATCATAACCTACTTCTTCACTCGCGCACTCAGCACCACCTCATCCTCCGGAGAAGGAGACGATACGTGGCCGTACCTTCTCCTCATCACCTGGCCCGCCTGCATCACGGTGTATCTCCTCGCCGCGGCGCACACGACACACCCGTACCTCGAGAAAGCAGGCCGTACGGGGACCTGGGTGTGGTTATGGAGGGGAGGGACGAGGTATAAGCATCGGCGGAGAGAGCAATCACCTTCACCATCTCGATCGTTGACTTCTACATCTAAAGTGGGAGATGATACCCGCGTGCGGAGAAATCACCACAACGCAGAAAAACACAAAGAAGACGAGAAGGAACGAGGAGATATCATGCTCGTAACGAAATACCAAAACCGGGTGATCGGCACGCTCGTCCTGCGGATCATACACACTGAGGAGGAACTCTGGGGCCATGTGCGGGATGCGGTGGTACGGGAACAGCTTTACCAGTACCAGCAGCAATATGCTCCTTCAACTTCAGGAACAGGGTCCTACCGGCCAGTCGTCAGTGTCATCCGAGCATGGACTGTGCAGCAACATCTTCGGGGGATCGGGGTGGGGAGGAATCTATTGGAGAATGCGGTTCGGATTTGTCGGGAACGGGGGGTGAAAGGGCCTGTGTTTTCGGATTGTCATGCGAATGAGGTGCTCGGGTTGCCGGTGGTGTGTAATGGAGAGTTGGTGAGGAGGGAGAGGTGGGCGAGGGAGGTGTTGGAGAGGGTGAAGAGGGAGGTTGATGATGCAGTTGGTGTTTAAGGGGTGATGGTGCAGGTACCGATGGGGGATGTGATGTGTGTGGTGCAGTGCAGTGCAGATGCATTATACAGTACGGGGTACTTTGCATTTGACCATGAATATGACGTGAAAGTCAGAGGGAGATGAAAGGAATGAATGAATGAATGAATGGAATGGATGATGAAGAGATCCATAGCATAATACTAAAATTAATCCATCATCAGCTACACTACAGAGTACATTCATGCCACTGCAATACCCTCACTGAAGAAAAGTACATTACTGTAAGTAACAACTGAAACATTCCCAATCAAACCAAAGCACCACCCCCAAAAAAAACAACAAATCAATGCAATACTATTCATATTAATTAATGCAAGCATCCAATAACCCCATCCCACAAAAAAAAATACAACCAAACCTGAATGAACCACGTCACCCGATGGATGATGGCAAGCTCGGATCCCCCTACGTGGATTGAACTCTTCCCCCGATCTGGTAATCCTGGGGTGCGATCCCGCGTTTCGTCTATTCTGATTGGCTACACCTGAAACCTGCATTGCCTGACGGCCCCGTATTCTAGTCAGTTACGGGGGCCTACGGCTGGTATTGCCGTGTATTGCCGCTGATAAATATAGGGTCTGGTGGGTCTGCCAAGGGTCTTGGTGGATCGGCTGCCTGGGCTGGCTTGGGTTTGGCTTGGGGTCTCCTGTTTGGGATTGTAGCTGTTGGGAAAATCCCGGGGTGAGATATTTATTGAATTATTAGTACCTCTGTTCTCGCTTTTTCTTTCTTTCACCTTTTCTCTTTCTCACCTACCTACATCCTACCTACGCAAACAACACTCGTTTCGTTGTTATCCACATTTACAACCACGAACAACACTCGTTCCACAAACACACATACACACTCTCTACTACCAAAGCACACCCTCTCCGAGAAGCCAAAAAAACAAAATGTCCATCACAACCGCCACAGCCACCACCTCCGCCAGCACATGCACCTCCACAGGCAACCTATACGTCCTCCCCGTGCAAGACGCAGCATGCGCGCTCCCCAACACCAACAACGCGAGCGCCATCATGGACAAATGCTGTTCGCCCGCCAGCCCAACCAAATACGACAACGACTGCGGAATCTACTGTCTGGCCCAAGGGCAGGACGTCAAGGAGCTTCTCTCCTGCATTCAGTCCAACGGGGCGGTCGAGGACCCCTTCTGCTCCGGTAACTTGACTGCGACGGCGACGGCGAGCGTGACGGGAACGAAGGCTACGGGGTCTTCTACGAAGACGGGGACGAGTACGGGCAGTGCGGCGAGTGAGACGGGGTCGTCTGCGGCTGTGCCTATGAAGCAGGTTGGGGTTAGTAAGGTTGGACTGGGCATGTTGGGGATGGTGCTGTGTGGGGCTGTTTTGGGGGGTTTTTAATTCATGGATTTGTTGATTGATGGGTATGGATATGATGGTGGGAATTGGTGATTGATGCAGGCTTTCGGGTTGAATGTATTCTATTTTCGATGCGATGCGGTTCGATCCTATGATTGTAATGTTACTTATTTATCATCGATTTAATTACTATCATCTGCAGTGAGTTGAGATAGCTACACCCGCCACTTCCCATGTACTTCAGCTCGCACCCAGAAACATGCCACCGTCGCAGCGAACAACAACACTCCCACTGTGATAGCAGCCCGTTCGTATGTCCCCGACTCCGTCAGGGCGGAGCCTCGTGGAATCAACAGCCCCGTCAGCGGCGTGCCAAGCAACGCCCCGACCCCCCGCACCAGATACAGCGCCCCATTGACGCTAGTGAAATGCTGCACGCCGAAGAGCTCCACCAGCGATGCGGGGAAGAGGGAGATATACGCGCTAGCGAAGGCGCCATACAGGATCGTGAAGACAATGAAGAGTCCGTGTGCCGCAGCGCTCGAGACCAGCGACGAGGGTAGCCAGAAGGCGAAGACGGCGACGGCGCTGAGAAGAGTCGTGGCCGCGAGGGCATTGATCCTGCCGAGCTTGTCGGCTGCGTAGCCGATGATGATGCGGGAGACAAAGTTCGATGCGTTGCTTAGCGTGATGAAGTTGGCGGCTGTCGTGGCGCTGTAGCCCAGGGCTTGGGCGTATGCGGCGTAGAAGAAGAGCGGCGTCGAGTAGCCGGCGGATTGGAGGAAGCAGCCGAGGGCTTGGGCCGTGAAGCGTTTAGAGCGGGCTACACGCCAGTTGACGAGCGGGACGGAGAAGAGTCGGATCCATTTAGGACGAGGTTGGGAGCGGCTGCTGGAGGATCCGGCTGTTTGCAGTTTGACTTGTTCGTGGAATTTGGGCTCCCAGCGCAGGATGCTGCCCGCGGCGGTGACGGTCGTCAGTGAGATGCAGCCTGAGATGCGCAGGGCGTTGCGGAAGCCCACATGGGAGATCATGGCCCGCAGTGCAGGCGGCCAGATCATGCCCCCCACTCCGGTCCCCGAGATGATGATACCCATGGCGAGGCCGCGACGTTTGCTGAACCAGGTTGGGGCAACCGCCATGGTGGGAACGTAGGCCATGCAGGTGCCAATGCCCAGGAGTAAGCCTTGTGTCAGAGAAAAGTGCCATAGAGCCTTGCTGAAACTGGCGAGGATGTAAGCGATGCCAAATACCCAGCCGCCGGCGATGATCACGGCTTGTGGGGAGAAGAGCTTCGCCCAGGACATGGCGAAGGGGCCCGCCATCGACATGAGCGCAATGGCCAGTGTGCCGATCAGGTCGATGAGCGCAGTCGTGCTTCCGGTAAAAGGAGTGTCTGGTTCGCGGGCCATCTCTTCATAGAGGGATTGGTAGACTCCAAAGGAGAACACGAAAGCGCAGGTCGTGATCATCACGATGAACCCGGCTGCCACAACGGCGACATAGTGCCTTGGTTGTCAGAAACGTTGACCCTCTTGTAGGTTGGTGAGCTTACCATTGGGGATAGACCGGTTCAGGAACAGGCTCACTCCTGCTATTCAAAGCCCGGTCCGCATTTTGCGGCAAGGATGACTCCTGCTCAGCCGCCGACCGGGAGCGATCAGACAATTCGACATCTATCTTCTGGCTCGCCATGACTACCCATGAGAAGCACAAGGTGGATCGATCGATCCAACCAAGCCTTATTTAAGTTGATCTGATAAGACGGTTGCTTGCCGAGTCTCGTTTCCGCGGCTAAAGCATCAGCCCGCTGCACACGGCAATCTCACAACTTCATCTACCGGCGCTGCGGATCCGGGGTATACCAGGTATATTATAGGCGGATGAAGCCGCCTGACCACCCCCATCGAAGCCAATTTTTGAGCCGATCTCTTTCGCGATCCGGCAGTCCCACGCCTCAACTACCTTCATTGGCTGCTCATTCACCGTGACCCATTTTCGTCATGGTAGTGCACGTCACAAGGCCACCCCAAGCGAGCTTCCGGATCTCGTAGCGTATAAGGCTGAGCAGCTTTCCATAGAAGATGTATGTACAATATCGACGAACCTAACCATGGCTCTCCTCCTCAGCAAGGATAAAGTCGGGTTCGAGATCAAACAGATCAGAGTGTTGATTAACCCATTCCAGGCAAAGATAATTATTATTCGCCAAATTTTGCACCATACCTAAAAGTTCCTGCAGCTGCAGCACGCACGAGGCATCTGTTTCTTGATACATCATGAGCACTTGGGCGCAGAGAAGTATGGGAAGCGGTGTGAACGGGGAAATCTATCGGACATCAGTACAGCTAGCTAAAGAAAGAGAAGGTTGCAAGTCACCTCAAAGTAACTCAGCTGCAACACCGCCTCTGTCAGGCGAATAATCTCCTGGACAGTCAGGAGTGCTCGCTGTCGGCATTGCCGCAGCGTCTCGCTATTCTCAGTCGCGCGAGCCAGTAGCTCCAGCGTCATACAGTGGTATAGAATAGCCGATTGTATCATAAGATTGGGGGTGAGAGACACCGGTTCGGCTGGCAGATTGGGCGTTACTGGCTGGACTGCCGAGATGGTCCGACTCTTCTTGATTAGTACAGCATCTAGCCAGCGATGTCGCTCCCAGAAGCTGTTGGATATGCCGCAGTCGGCTTGCTCCGCGACTGCCTGCTGTCGGTGCAATACCGTTTTCCCACAAAGTGATGCTAGGATGACCATTTCCGAAAGCTCTGCTTTGAGTAGGGGTCTATCTTCAATAATGGTTTTCGAGAGCAAACCGGTCATCTGGCTTAGTTGACCTGTCTGGAACGTCTCCTCTCTGGCGGGCAAACGTGTCGCAATCTGTCAACCATCAGCTAGGTACGCCGGCGATCAAAGCATCGACATGACATACAATTCGCTCGTCAAAGGTTAACGGGCTCTCGTGTCTCAAGGAGATAAGTCGGTCCAGAATGTACGCTACCCAGAAGACGCGACGCTTCTCCTCCGCACAGACGAGACCCTCCAATGTACTCGCTTGGTGAGATCGTGTATTGTCCGCCTTATCAAGATCAAGCTTGTGCAGGTCCATCAGCTGCACAAGTCGGATGCCCTGACCGGCGCTCACCCACCCGCGACGGAAGTTATGGTGAGTGAATTCGTAAACAGCAAGTACCAGTAAAGCCTGAACATGCTCTATTTGGTCAATCTCGGAATCACCATCTACTAGTTGTAGATAGCCTAGGAGCTGCCGAACAGACTGGTACAGGGGCTCGCATAGATGCTCCAGTTGGGCGGACATGGATGTAGTTATCGTCCACATGGCGTACTGCAAGCATCTTCTCGATGCAGACTTGTTGGAATCCCTGGTCCAGGAAAGGTAGCGCCGTGCGTTGAGAATGGGAACGAAAACGTGTGCACGATCAAAGTACAACTGGTCACTTGCTTGCTCAGCATAACAGCACGGAAAAAGGAATCATGATACCTACAGTTCGGCATGCAATAAGTCCGAAACCGGCACTGCCCCTACGCTTGGTGCTCCCGCTGGGGCGTTGACCTCGTTGAGAAGTACATTTAACTGGGGCTCCCCATTCCAGCCATGCACTGTGGGTTGTGCAGCAACATCACCGTTTGTGGATGTCTCTGCGGACACGGGATCTTGTGTCCGTCCAAACACTACATTCTCGAGATTCGCTATTCACGTAAGTCCTTGTTGGTGTTTTCTATAGTAGAGCATACTACTCACCGATACGCACCTGCAAGGTTTTCAGATGGCCTTTCTTAGGTCCCCGGCGGGAAGGCTGTGGGTGAAAGACACATTTTATGCCCGCGTTAGAACAATTAACGCATTGGGGATGCTTCCCATCGCAGCGCATCTTTCGGCGACGGCATTCCGCGCATGCAGAGCCAGGGCGATTGCGAGATTGAGGTTGATCACTGGAAGGCGAAGGGCTGGACATAGCTGGTACGTAGGTGGATGGTGAGTCAAACAGGGGAATGCACGTGTGCCGTTTGCATGAGATGGTGATGGAAGGATATATTTCTAGCTACTGCGACATAGAAACCCTAAGTAGATCTTGGCTCCCATTGAAGCCATGCCGAGCCGATTAGTGCGCTTTATGTTCCGAGCTATAGGGTATCCTGCAACATGAAAGGGGCGGGGGTGGGGGCGGGCGGGCTAGTAGCAGAGTTGTTGTTCAAGTCAGTGTGCTGCCATTACAGCATCTTGCAGATGAGCATGAGAAGGGTAATCCTTGAGTGGCATTGCCTGTTGCGGAAATCCGAGCGAGGCCAGCATAAGCACAGTGTCATGGAAAATCAGATCCATAAAGATCGACGCTCCCAGGACCATCTGCATGCGAGAATTCTAATGGCCTCGTCACGAAAGTTAGATCATGATGATTTGGAATCGAAGGGGAATTATGCACTGGTGAGGGTTCTTTTTCAAAGGATGCCACTCGCAGGTAAATACTTGCCGCAAACAATTATTGGGCAGACTATATCTATCCAATAATCTCTTATGCTGGCATTTTCAGTCAAGAAGGACTAAGCTTTTCGATGGTCATGGTAAGATTCCCGGGATCAATGATGCAGCGGCTACTGCGTGATGAGTTTCGGAGAATGCGGCCTGAACACTTGACTCAGCTTCCGTTTCAGCTGGAGTGATGGTTGCAAGAGGCTTGTCATGGCACTGCAACTTTATTGCACACCGCAACTGAGGCCCAGGGTGGCTGCATAAGTGTGTCAATAGTTATGTCCACAATCCAAAATGACGGGAACGATCCCCATCCCATTTTTCTTTGATGGGTGGCACTAGCAGTCCTGTACCAATACATCTCAGGGTGCATGTCGTATTTGTCGAAGGGCGACAAAATGATTTCCGCATAAATGGAATAATAGAGTGTAGTATCTGAAGAGATGGCGCTTATAAAATTCAGGTCTATGAGATATATCTTGCTTGTGGTGTAATAGATACCTTTGTCTTCCGCATACGTTTATTTCCTCATCTTGGTTGAATTTAAAATTAGTCTGTTATTCCGGCAAACCGGACATTTCGTAATCTGCATTGCTAGGGCTGCACACTCCATCCTGCGTGCAGCGGTTAGCTTTTAAACGTGCAGGCTAGAAAGACTGGCGTATTCTTGGGGATACTTGACGTGAGAGCGTGCTGTAGAAATTTGGAGATAACCCCAAAAGGAGGTCTGGTAGCTCAGGTGGACCTCGTGCATCTGGGGAAGAGATCGTCGCAATTGGCTGGATATATTCGGCTTCCGCTGGGTTCTGATGATTTCTAATGTCGGCAGGAGTTGATTTAAACCCCTGCTAGTTCCATATTTTTTTTCCTGCTTATCTTCAGTCAGCCACCATCAACCGGGGTCAAAAGACCATGTCTTTTCCACCTATATGGCTCCTAATATGAATTTCCGGCAAGTAAATCCGAAGGTTGCTGTTATGAGGGTTATTTATAATAGATTATTTTCGCTTCATAGGGCTGAACAACATGATCCACCGGTACACCGAATGCTATCATAGACGGCAAGATGTCAGTGACAGCGGCCCCAGGTAACTTAATAGTTCTTTCGGGGATGTTTGATCGCGATATGGACATAGCGTACAAGTGGTTGCAGGTCATTTCAAACCAGCGGCAATTTATTGCTTTAAACCCAGGCTGCACACCGAAAATTGTGTTTGGTGCGCATTGCAGGCCGTGAACTAGAATACACTATGTGTGTTCAGTGTGTAGATAGATTTCTGATTGTTAGCCTATAGAGGTAAGAGGAAGAGGAAGGAAAGAGGAGATGCTTCTGGAAGTACACGTGGTCAGACATGGGAGGCCTGCAGAAACCTCAGGCCACGCCCCGACAAGGCCATTGTTTCAATTGGAGAAATGGGGCTGGGATGGGAAGAAGGAACATCTAATCAAGGAAAAAAAAGGGAAAAAAAAAAAAAAAAAAAAAAAAAAAGTAAACAAATTCAGCTCTCGGTCTAGTGGAACTCTTATGTAGCTAGTTAGCCGATTATTTCGACTAGCAGTCTATCATACAAATGGAGATCGTGCGAGTCAGCCGAATGTGAATCAATGCATTGTTCCTAGCCCATTTGGTTCTGGAAATGCCTCACCAATCCATCCTCCGAGGAAACAGCTTTCCTGGCCTGTGACATCTATCCATCCGATCGATGATTAACAGGGTATATGTCTTTGGTTGGTACCATCTTATTGCTAATCCCCCAATAGAAAGTTTCCCGGGAGAGTTCCCCGTCTCCCAACAAGGGCAAGACTAGATTTTCTGTATTTCCTGGGGAGACCAAGATCTGCCACTTGTACTTTCATTGAGTTCGGAGAAGGGTTGACAGTCTGGGCTGACTCGCGGAAGACAGTTGATCTCATGTTCACTCGCCAAGAAATCCGCATGAAGTCTTCCCAAATTTCTTCAGAGATTCGCCATCTGTACAGTCTTGAACCCCTTCCAATTCTCCAGAGCCTCTGTACAAGCCTGTTTGTATGCCGGTATCCCACCACAAAAATTAAGCATCTGCCGCTTCTTCCCCGGTATATTGGCGCCCATATACCAAGAGTCCGCCCGAGTAAACAGTGTCGCGTTAGCGATTTCATCCGCCCATTTCGTCCATGAGTCTGCTGCCTCTGGTGTAGCCTCGATAGATGCTAGTCGATTGGCCCGCATTCTCTGGATTGTATCGATGATAATTTGGCCCTGCACTTCCATAATCGAGGGTAAATTGCTAAGCGCGCTCGGTCCATGTACTCCGCACATGTAGAACAGATTGGGGTATCCGCTAAGCGTCAAGCCCAAGTATGTTTTTGCTCCATAATTCCATTCTTCCTTCAAGGATATGCCCTCCGTGTTATGGAGACCCAAGTTTGTCAAGCTCCCCGTCAAACCATCAAACCCCGTTGCTAATGCGACCGCGTCAAGCTCATGGTATGCTCCACTGCTCGTTACAATACCATGGGGCCGGAATTCAACAATTTTCTCCTCACGCACATTGACTATATGGATATTCGGCTGGTTGAATACTTTGTAGTAATTCAATTCCAGTGACAATCGTTTCGCTCCAATGGGATGTGGTGGATCTAATGGTGCTAGGAGGTCCCGCTTTCTAGGGTCGTGGATTCTCGAACGCGTCTTTCGAGCCCAGAAGTCATACAAGGCACGGTTTGCTTTCAGGTCGGTCATATTATCGATAAAGGTTCCAATCATAAAATGAAAACCGCCCTTTTTCCATGCATGTTCATATAAAGCCTCACGCTCCGCGGGTGAAACGTCAAACGTCCGTTTGTGTACCTGTGTTGCTACATATCCCGCGAAGGTATTACCACGGTCCCGAAAGACGTGTGGATACATGGACCTGATGACCTCTTGCTCTTGGGGAAGTTGAAGCTGTCGCATGGGCAAAGCCAGGTTGGGTGTTCTCTGAAAGACCGTCAAAGTGCCTGCTTCTTTAGCCCATTCTTGGATGATCTGAATCCCTGCTGAGCCCGTGCCTATCACTGCCACCTTCTTTCCTTGGATATTAACGCTCTCCTCTGGCCAGTATTCGGAGTGATAGATCCCGCCCTTGAAATCCTCCATCCCAGGGAAAGCAGGCGTGTAGCCCTTTGATGCAAGTCCTGTACATGTTAGAAGAAATTGGGATTCAGTGACTCGACCATCCTCCGTTTCGGTGCGCCAACAGCTCTTTTCTCGTACGAAATGTGCCTTCACTACCTTGGCTCGGAAGTCCACATCTTTCTTGATATGGAGCTTCTTATCGACATGGGCAAAATACCGACGCAGCTCCTGGCCGGAGGGGTAAACCTCGTTCCAAGACCAGTCCTCCCAAACCTCCGGCATAGACAGCTGATAAATCCAGCTTTCCGAGTCGACCCTCACACCTGGATAGATATGATTTGCCCACGTCCCTCCCAGTTCTGTCCCTGTTTCGTAGATCCGGCATGAATAGCCTAGTTTGCGAAGGTGATATAACATAAAGATTCCCGAAAAGCCAGCTCCTATTATAAGGATGTCATACCTGGCAGGGGGGGTGTCTGAGAAATTCGCACTGTGCGCCATTTCTATATTAATCCTAGGGAGAAATATGTGTGGTAGGCAGTTCAAGGCTAGGATGAGATAGCTGGGAGACTCTTTGGAATGTCAATGAGAGGGCAACAGTCGGTATATGTAGCAGTGCGATCGCACCGCCATCGCCGAGGCTCTATGGTGTGATAACCGAAATACTTTTGTGACATGTCCACCAATCTCTGGATGTGAACCGTTGGAGGAGTTGTTGTTTACTAGCGCGGAGACGTCATGCCGCTGTGCGGGTTTAGGTGCACGCTCACATTGGACGCCTGAGAAACCATCCTTACTAGTTCGTTCACATAGTGACGGCTGTCCTCGGCTTTCTCCACTCGATCCTAGAAATGTAAGGAATAGTGAGAAATTTCCTGTGTTAGGCTATTGCCAACCCCCCTCGCTTGGTGGTCATGGTGCTTTTATCGAGGTTGGGGAGCTGGTGACAGCCTAGCCCTAGTTGGTAGCTCCGAAAACAATGCTTATTGTCGTACAAGCGAACACGACGACCCTCTCGAAAAAGCCACGTGAGGGAAGGATCATGGGGGCAGGCCGCTGTGTTCGATAATATGGCAGCCTTGATTGTGTAACTATTGGTCACCCGACAATGATAAGCACTAGCGAAACATTGGCGCACGGGAAAGGTCGTTATCACATATTAGTTGTCTCTATCGAAGAAAATTGGTGTCATCCTGTAACCCCACACTTGGCGCCCCGGCCCCCTTGCAGTCTGAAACAATATGCTGCCAGGGTGTTTTCTTCCATATGCAGGATTGATGGTGCACAATAAAGAGATAAAAGCTCCTTCACGACCTTCTCAGGCAAAAGGGCAATATGAACTCAGCGATACAATTGACCTGAATGTTGCTGTTCAGTACCGAACCAAAAATACAGACACCCCGTTTCCAATGTTGGCCACATAGCTAGTAATTAGATGATTATCACGGCACACCACCTTGAATTCGACTTCCGGAAGATTCAGAGGTATTCGATTTGTTTGACTTGCTTCTCGGATGTATCTTGACCGGCATTGCGATGGGGTTCTTGAAACACTCCGCTAACTCTCCGAGTCTATATTCTGGCCTGCATAGATGCATTCCATGGCTTGCTATAGTACTATTAGATAACCCTAACATAAAAGATAAATGTAAGCAGTGCCTTTATTGTTATAAAGCCCGCATCCATCAATATCGAGTTACACTTGTTGAGGATGTGTCGATGTGAATTGTATGCGACAAGATCATAACTTTGTGCATTCCGATGTCTACTGGCATTTTAGTTGGTATACATCGTGTTAGAAATACCATGAACTTATAGTGATGGCTCGGGGTACGCGATTGAAGCTTCAATCCTAAAATTCCACCATCGGGTTTGTGATACAATGCATGTATGGTCGTAGGGCAACTATATAATATATAACCGATACAAAACACGATTTCCACCATCGACCAAAAATGATACAAAACACCAAAATACAACATATTTCCACATATAAATAAAGTAATTAAACATACTGAAACCATTTACTAACCACAAACCACCAAAAAGAACACAACCCACAGCTCAAAGTCATTCAAACAAAACGTCTCTTCTGAGCCAGCATGCACGGGATATAAACCGAATACTTGGTGCGGCTTTCAACAACTTGTCTCGATGGTGTAGTTGGTTATCACGTGGGTCTCATACTACAGTATGACGTGGAAGCACAACTTCCATGCGATCCCAAGGCCGGGAGTTCGAACCTCCCTCGGGACATTCCTTTTTGGATCTGCATTATTGCAGATCACGTGATATCTATGATTGTGCGATTGGGATACAGCTAATAAGTAATTTTTCTTCTCCCCTCACTTTCATTTTAATTTCCTTTATTACTATTCCGGAGGTCCTGGCAGCAGAGACAAACACAATTATAATATTTACGGAGCCGAGTATCGTTTCGTCAATATAACTTCCTTCCTTGGTGTGTAGCAATTGATAATCCAGCCAAGCATAGGAACTATTGTCGACATGCATTGAACCGAAAGATATAAATGTGATGGCTCTATAAGTGTCTATAATACATAGTAAAAAATATATGCAAGAACCGAAATCCCCCAATAAACACCCTCGTCCACACTATTCCCGCGGACCGTATTAGCAAGAAGGCATCATGCCGAAATCTAGAACCTCTATGTATGCTCGCCAAACAATATCAGAAAAGTCTATTGCTTTTGATACCCGGGGCTAGTGTATGAGCCTTTCACGCCCAACCCCGCTTGACCTTCCAGTTCATAAATGCTGCAGCGAATGGGAACAAACAGATCGAGAATGCGACCCAGGCGAAAAGAACACCGAAGTCAAGCCCGATGCGAGAATGCGTATCGAAGAGAATGGTGCGGAGTGCCTCGACGACTACCATATATTAGCTTGGTAAACTGGAAGAAATTGAGGGAACAACATACTTCTGTGAAGAGGCCAGGCGTAACCCCATCTAAAGAAACCTGGAGCCAAATCCAAAGCATAAAAGCCAGTGGCCACGTTGGTGATCACCCAGAAAATGAGGAAGAGCGCACTCCAAGGGAGACCGATAATCATCGCCATGTTCTCACATGGGAAACCGAGTGCGCACATTCCCACCCAATTCAGCATCCAGTAGACAACAAAGGACCCATGGCCGTAGGCATTGGGGTTGTTGGCTGACTGAGTGTCGGGTGCGGAGGGGTTGTTAAACGGAATCTGGAAGGCCAATGACACGAAGGAGTAGAAGAGCGATAGGAAGAAGTATGTGCCAATGTTGGACAGGATGCGCCACAGGAGCCACTGTGGGATTTTCAGCGGAGGATGGTTGCCCTTAATGAATTGGATGTGTATGGGCATCATGAACGGGGTGTTGAAGAAGGCAAGAATGATCAGATAGATGAGACCAATGCTCACGGCCGGAGTGATGACGGCGGGCGCGAAGGGTCGAAGGTCAATGGAGGTGAATCCAATTGCCGGGTTGATGGCCTGTGGCACTTTGCTGATGTTGTACCCTTCCTGCGCGACGGTCTGTATCCAGCGCGGTCCGAAGTACGACCGGACGGCCAAGTCTAAATCGGATAAAAAGGGAATGATGTAGTTGTAATATGTGGTCGGATCGCGTGCACTGATCGTGACGAATTCCGCCGCACCGTAGGGGTCATAGGACGAGTTCCCATTAGTGACAGCGTTGCGAAGAAGAGCAGTGGCATTAGAGTTGACAATAACAGCCGCATAAGCGTGCTCGTCGTACACCGACTGGCGCACAGCCCAGGGGTCATTGTTGAACTCTGCAGGAGACTTAATCATGTAACCCAGATGCTCGCTGCTCGAGTCAAGTATTTGGCTCACGACATCAGTCACGGCAGGGCCCACAATTGGAGTCTCATTTCGGTAGGGCTCCAGCTGGCCATCAAAGTCGACAACCCAAACAGTTAGAGCAGGAAACCGGGACTCCGCCTGAAATTGTACGGCCCAGAACAGGGATAGAATGCAAAGGATGAAGACACAGAGTAGTAAAACTGTAGATTAGCAATTAGAGGAGGAATACTCATAACTTAAGGGTTTAGCACCAACCTGTCCGGCCCCACTGGAAGAACACGCTGCGACGAGCAGCTTTAAGTGCAGGATCAAAGAAAGAGACGGCCGCAGGAGGGGCCTCAGCCTTGTCGCCAGCCTCGGCCATCTGGACTTTGTCGGAGCTCATACTGTGGCCCGAGTACAAGGACGTAAGGCCGGTGTGTGAGGAGAAAAAGTAAGGGTAGCGTAGGAAAGAGGGAAAACCACAGCAGACAAGAATATTATGCCATCCGACGCCAAGGAGGCCTAGAGGCGCGATGGGCAGATTTAAAAGAGTCCATGATCAGCCTGGTACCCATCGCAACTATTTTCCACCGATGGCTCACTGATCGCTATCATAAGTCGGCAACGGCGAACCCGGGAAATTATCCAAATAGGGTAATGATCGAACTCCGAGACCAGAGTTCGCCTTTTCGGAGCGCGAAAGTGTAAAAAGTTCGTTCTCGGGCTTACAGCTCGGCATGCATGGCCTAACGCTAACAATGGGAACAGCCCTTTTCTAATTTGACCACGGTATTCTACCTTATAAAAAGTCCATATTCTCATGTTTAAAACATGCACTTTTATAAATCAAGACGCTTGATCATGATGAGGCTCGGCGTGGTCTGAAGTGGGCGGTGAGGTGACTGGCAGAATGTTAGACCCGGTCATATCTCGGCTGAGCCGAGCCAAGCGGAATTCCGGCTATATTTTTAAGGGAACTGGCTAGACCCGGGATTACCCCTAGCAGGCCGAGCTTGGTTTGTCCCGTGCATTCCAATCTTATCTGATACGACCGGGCCTAACGCTGCTCGTTGCTTCTTTCAGATTACACATAAATAAGCAACGCCTCGGATGCCTGGACAGTGAATGTCGCCCGTCCTGCTGTTGCTTGCGTCGTCTCCATATCCTTTGTGCCCTGTAATTCGCATGTTGCGTTCGCAAAAGTCTGTCCTCCGACGGTGATCCCCCCCTCCCCGACGGTCGTTGTTGCGGCATCTCCAGTTAATCGCAACGCGGATACGGAAGTGGATGTCGAGGGAATGCCACTCAGTGTCACGCTCACGCTGGTCCGTGTCCCTGAGGTGTAATACTCCGAGTTGTACAGCAATACACGGATGGGCTGGTTACTGCTATCGTACAAGGCGTATGCTGCGAACCGGCTGTTCCCGGTGTCTAGCTGGGCGACTTTGGAGGCACCAGAGAGGGCAAGGGCGGCCGTATAGGCGCCGTAGAATGGCGCATTCACCGATTCGTCCCACCAACAATACGGGCCTTGTACTATGGGTTAACTTAACCAGACATAAGCAAAAACATGAGATACGTACAGTTACCAATTGTTCCTTGGTGGAAGAATAATTGCTGTCAAAGTCAGATCAAAAAGGCTCGTTCTAGATCTGGAGCTGACGGCGGGTAGGCCTACTTTAACACCTAGAATCGTGGCTTGCATGACATAGTCCAGGATCCAAAGCCCGGCACCGAAGGTAGGGCTAATACCACCACCTCCACCGGTCGCTGGCGTTATTTAGCATTTGGTTAGGCACGTGCTGGGCGAAACATACCCGAGTTTGTTTCTCCCATGACAAAATCTTTGTCGAGCTCCTGTGCAGCCACTATCTGGCTTTGAAACTCTGACACACCCTCCACTATCTCCGTATGGCTCATCAATTCATCTAGGTCCGCGGTAGACGCTGATTGCGGATAGTAATGGTGGCAGAAAGAGCGCACGTATTGGGTGGTATCGGCTTCTTCCTCTTTCTGAGCTAAATTGCTCACATTGAATGTCCCCACTCCGAAGAAGACACCAGCTTGGGCGAAT